GTGACGGGTGTAGCTCCCCTTGGCTGCCAAGGTCAGAACCTTGCACTGGCGCAGGACCGGACGGTGCGTTCCCAGGGCTCGTGTTACAGAGCAGTGACCACAGTTGGCAACAAGACACATCATCACTCTTGCTCTGAGGGTGGCCAGAGCTCGTTTTCCCTGGAGTTGGTCTCTGGATGAGCTTTCAGGGTTTTCTCTACAAGAGAATAAGAACTTTGTTGGGAAAGAACATGAAGGCAGTTTCACTGTGTGAATCCAGAGAGTCTGTAAGCTGCCCATCTTGCCCTTAGGCATCGAAACAAAGATGTTTTTGTCATTTGTCTGAAATCCGTGTCAACTTGCCTTTGGAGGTCCACGGTGCCTTTCCTCCTCCCCCTGCCCCCACCCCCTCAGGAAGTCAGTCCCCTGTGGGCCGGAAGGACCATCTTCTTCCATAGAAACTTTGGACGCCCAAGAGGAGACTGCCGGTCCTGGAAAGCAGAGGCACTGCCTCACCTGTGCTGCCGGGGACCCCGCACTGTCGGCTTCCACACCCTGAGAGAACGTTCTGGATCCTGACCAGACAGCCTCGGGAATGCCCGATTCCTGACAGGGTGCTCTGTTCTAAGACTGGGGAGGGCAGGCTTTCTTTGGCAATCCTTGGCCACTCGATGCTTCAGGAGATGCCATTAAGTTGGACTCCGCGTCTCTGTCTCTTTCAGCTGTGGTGTAACCTCTCCCTTTTCTCTTCATCTCCCTCCCCCTTCTCTTGCACACCCCCACCCCACCCAGGCTCAGCAGAGTGCCAGCCTTACCTTTGGAGAAGGTGCCGCATCCCCGGGTGGCCAGAGCTGCCAGCCGGGAAGGGACCCGCCCGCTTCGGCCGATGAGCGCGGGCCACAGCGCAGCCCCACTCCGCAGAGGAGCCCGGCGGGGAGCACGGAGGCAGACGGGGCCGGCAGGGCGGAGACGGAGGAAGAGGAGGAGGTCGTTAAGGACAGGACCCAGCAGAGTAGACCTCGGCCCCCGCAGCCAAGCACAGGTCCAGCATCCAGGGCTGCCCATGGCAGCAGCACTTCCATTCCTTTCATTGACTGCAGTGATGTAGACAGTGAATACGACCTCCTCAGGGAACAAGCGTCCCGGTCACGGTCCCAAACAAATGACAACTATGAGGGTGATTTGACCAGTGGTGTTTATCTGCTGTCCAGGGATGAGAGGCAAATAGAGGCTAGGCGCAGGGCTTCCCCTCACTCTGTGAAGTCCTCCCGGCCTCCTTCCAGAGAATTCCGTGACGCTGATTCAGCAGACATCACCTTTGACATGAGTGGGAGCCCCAGACTCCCAAGACATAGCTCTCTGATAGATGAGATGTTCAGGGCCTCGGGCGGTCACAGTCCCCTGGCCACCCCCTTGTCTCCCAGCAGCGGAAGTTCAAGTCCAAGTATGAGTTGGGACAGGACCGGGTCTCAAGGCTATGTTTCCGAAAACGCACATGACTATAGAGAGAGAAGTGTGAGAGGAGAGCCTCTCCCAAGCCAGGGTCCTCGTGATGAAGACGGTTCCCCCGTCTTACAAAGGCCCCACGTAAGGAATCTGAGATATAATAAGTCAGAGACAGATCCACTCATTCTTAGCCAGGTAGCATCAACCCCGAAGGCAGTGGATAGGCTTGACGGCCATGGAAAGGGAGGCCTGGCCGGCCCGGCCGCTTCGGAAGGTAGAACGCTGGCTAACGGTACACCTCTCGTGGGTCCGACCTCAAGGATCCCCGTGGCGCAGTCAGCGTGTGCCCCTGGCAAGGCAGCCCAGCTGGCACCCCTGCAAATGACCGAGGGTTCCACCAGCAGTGGGACTGAATCCAGCGATTCAGACTCTGAACTGGCCAGCCCTCTGAGCCAGCCCCTCGTGTTTGGTAATCCAGCTGTGCTGAGTTCCCCCTCCGGCGTGAGGAGAAAGAAGTCCTTGGGTGGCCTGCCTTTGAATGAGGACGGAGAGGAGTATGAGTGAGGAGACCAGAGGGCAGGTCTTCAAGGGCTGGAAACCTGGAGTCATGCGTCCAGGGTTTCCCTGGAGATGATCTGTCCTAGTGACTTGTTAATTTCTAATCGACCTTTGTTAGAGGAGGTTTTGGGGCAGGCACATGTTTGGGTAGGGCACGCCTGGCTTCTCAGATCTTTCAGAAGGACAGAATTTCACACATCATGACAAGTTACCAAGAGCTTGTTTCTCTTTCCGGCTGAAGGCTAGGAAGAAATCCTTTATTATGAATCTGATCATGTGTATAGTGTGTTGTATTTACGTGGAAATTTTCTGTGTATCTTCAGTTGTGTACACAGATCACCCTCCCATCTGGTTGATTATTGGGACGAAAGTATCACTGAGATCCCAGGAAAGGTGTGGGTTTTACTTTGAACCCCTTCTTTAAAAGGAGGGCTGCTTTGTTGTGCCTCATAAAGTGAGGAATTGACAAAATTCAAGGCCAAATGTAAGTTGGTTGCTAGTTGAAATGAAGTGTTGTTGAAATATTAGTTAATAAGACTAGTGAATATTTTAATTGGAAGCATTTGGGATTATTCTTTGCAGACTTCCTATGAAATGATAGAAATCTTCCTGAACTGTAATCGGTATGAGATTTTGCTGGTTTGGTTTGGGTTTTGCTTTCACGGGTCAAACGTTAGTTATGGTTGAAGGTGTGGAACAACTCTGGCCGTCAGGGCCTCTTGGTGAAACACAGAGATGCTGCTGAGTAACGGTGCAGGGAAAGGTAAGACCTCGCAGGATAGGTACTGTTGGCACCAGGAGGTTAGCAAACTCAGTGCCTGCCTGTGAATAGCGCACAGTACCGAGAAGGGCTGTCTCCCGGTCTCGTTGCCCTTGGTGGATTTTTACGCACGTTCTTAATATTCACATGCTCAGGAACAGTGTCTTCTGGCTGCTTCACTGTGCAGGAAAAAAGAAAGAAGTAGTGAGAGGTTTGGTTTCTTTTTAAATCTTACCATCTACACCAGTGCCTTTCACCCAGCGTTTCTGCATTTCAGATGGAAAAGCCTGGTTTGAACTTGCATTGCTTCTCAGCCTTAGCTGCACTTTGGAATCACCTGGGACATTTTAAAAAATTGGTATGACCTGAGCCCTGACCCTAGAAATTTGGATCAGATTGGTCTGGAGTGCCCCTTGGGGTCCCCAGATGGCTCTGCTAGGCTGCCAGGGTCATTTCTGAGCCAGACACTATTGCCTTCTAGAATCTAGTGGAATGTGATGGAAGTGTCAGCTGAAATGTTGGCTTGCTTGCCAACTAAGAAAAGCATCACCAATGAAATGCTTTTCTTCATGCCTGCTCTTTGGTACTTTTTAGTCTTTGGTACTTTTTTTTAAAAAAAGATAAATTGTAGAATAAAAATTTTAGATCCTAAGTAACTACAAAATTATTGAAAAGAGTTGTAATGATGATCCAGCCCTAATGTGCCGCCACACGAGTGGCCTTATTAAAACTCATCGTGTGGCTTTGTCATGGGGAAGAGCTAAGCAAGTTTAGGGAAACTGAGTAGAATTTGGCCACAGTGTTGAAAAAGCAGAAATATTGACAGACCCTGTGGTTCACACGTGACTCTGTCCACATGAATGTCGAGAAGTTGATTTTAAAGATTCTGAAAACTTAATCCATTTTTACACACACTTTTGCTTTATCTTCCTAATCATTTGATTCAGTGCATGGTTGATGAATCAAGTTGATTATTGGATAGCTTGAAAGATGTTCACTTGAGTAGTCTATTCATCTTTTGCTTTATTTAGATTTACATGTTTAACAGAGTCACAGAATTTTGAAGCCAGAAGGGACCTTGGAGGTCACCTAGGTTAAACCTTTATTTATGGATGAGAAACCTTGTTCTGATGAAGGGAAGAGACTTCCCATAGTCCTACAGCCGTTGCATGACAAATCTAAAACCAAAACCTTGGTCTCTGGGCTTCAGTGTTTTACTCTATGTGACAGCTTGATGCACTAGGACCTTTTGGATTCAGTATTTTATATTTTGAGACTCTTGTATGGATTAATAATTAAAATCATATGGAGATCAGGAATCCTGTAGACTTAGGTTATTACAGTCCATATTAGGTAGGAAGAACTACTGCTTTTTATACTGTGGGGTTTTTGCAGTTATAGCCCATTTTTGCCTATTCTGTTTTGAGCTTAGAGAAAGGTGTCAATTTGCTATATAAAAAAGTAGTCAGACGTGAGTTAAGCAGAGTCACATGTGGAATCTGTGGTATATTTGTGAAGGTGGTGTGTTCAAATGAGTTCTTTTTACCTCTAATCATACAGCAGTCTGATCATGAAATATGAATGAGCAAAGGGTATTAACTTAGTTGGCTTAGAATGTGAATCATCAGATGTAAACTCCCAAAGCAAAACATATTCCAGTAATTATTTTGTTTTGCTTTTTCCCCGAAGAGATGATTTTTTATCCAAAGTGTTTCAAAAGCAACTGATGAACGGTTATGTACCCAGTTCTATATTGACGAGATTTTCCGCTTTTAAGGTCACTGGTAGAGTTTTTCTCCGCTTTGGTTTTGTACCAGCCAAGCAACTCAGTTTCTGCTTCTCAGTCAGTCTTTGTGAGAGTGGCAGTTCTGGTGTGATTAACAGTGCTTAAAAGAAAGGGGGGTGGGGGTGGGGAAAGGTGTGTAGTTTTTTCAAAAGCCACATATTCTGACGTGCTGGGAATATTCACTCATTGCCTCTGGGAGAGCTTTCCTTGCACTAGTAAAGAGAGCTGCTGAGTGAGTAAACCTAAGTGTTCTTCGAGTCTGATGGTAGAGCCAGTTCACTGAGGTGAGGAGGTCAGAGAAAGCCAGCAGGCTGCGTGCCACCCCCAGCGCCCCGCACCTTCCATACCTTCTGCCTGCTGTGAGATTCTGGTCCCCAAGTCCTTCCCTGGCCTCTGGAATCTCACTGTGTGGTATAAGAAGGGCAGGCACATGCCTGAAGTTGAACTAAGTGCAGGAAGATCAGAGATGGGGTTGGGTGTGACCAATAGGCAGCAGAGATTAGAGACCTGTGAATTCTTTCAGACTTCCAAAGGGTTTCCCAAGACCTGTCAGAGCCAGTTTTTCTAAGGCAACAGCTAGTGTAGGGGTCGCCTGCATCAATAAGGAAGCCAAGTCTTCAGATCGCGGCCGCTCCTGTGCAATGATATCTTAAAGCCTTGGGTGGAAGACAAACCAAATATAGAAACAGAGATCTTCAAGCCACTCAGGGCGACTCTGGGGCCTCCGCGCATGAATATCTTTTGTTAGATAGTATTTCAAAACATGTAAATTACAGATCCTTTTGTGACTGAGTTTTGTTGCTGCTTGTTCGGGCAGCATAAAAATGCAAGAAATTCTCGTAAAGAACTGCATTTAATGAGCTCCAGAACTTACAGTGGATTGCCCCAGCTCCTTGACCAGTCATCTGTATGCCATGATGCTATTTTATTAGACAGGCATTTAGTTAAAGGAAGTCTGTGAGCCACATTCTTCTCCACATGTGTGATTTGTATTTGGAAATTTCTCACAGATTTATCTCACCAAATGGTGCTTCTGTGGCCCGCACTTAAAAATGTGAATAATTTCCATTTGATGCTCCAGAACTTCTTTGAAGATTCAAACCAAGTAATGCTTTAAAAATATATACACACACTAGGACTGCAAAACCAAAATACAGCACGAGCCTCTTGAAATTTCCACCAAGTATACGAAATCCAGCCTGTCCTCAGTTGAATCAGAAACCCCACTTGCATCTTCGCTGTGGAGTCAGTTTGCTTGTGTTGGCAAAGCAGTTCCTAAAAGAAGCAGCAGTTAAAATATTAAGCTGCCATTTTAAATTTTGTTAAAACTGTTGTGAATGTGCATCACCTCCCTTTTTCATAGCTTTAACCAGTGTTAATATGGTTTTAATCAACTTTTTCCACTTAAAATGCTATTCCCTATTTCAACACAGTATGGGTTTGGTGCAATTGAAGTCATCAGTGAGTGATTGGGCTACAGGTAGGCCCAGCC